ATGATATAAGCGATACTGTTTTGAGTAATATGAGTTATCCAACTATTTTATATTGTAACTGTTTATTGCCCATTTCAAAATCTGGATTATGCTATTAGCTTTGTTTGGGCAAAAATATTGTAGTTCACAGTTTATCCGTTTCAGATAATTTAATATCGAAAGCCCCAAAAATATTCTAATTAATGCTCGAAAATTTTTGTTGACTTAGTGGAAAGAACAACTAACTGAACAGAAATAACTTTGAGAAAAATGATGTTAGATCGGGGCTAAAGTTTCACTCTATCCACAGGAAGCTGCATTAGAATCAGAGGAAACCAGTGCGTAAAAACTCACATCCTCTGATAGGGATAGATGCTTTTACAAGTATTCTCTACTTACTTTCGTACAAAAACGATTAGTTTAGGATTAGTCCTCGTCGATCTTGAACTAGATTTTGATTAATCTATAGGGTTGCCACTATTTAACCATGGTTTCGATTTTGCTTACTTTACTTTTAATATAGATTGGAACGATAGTTTCAAAAATAAATAATAGCAGGTTTAAGTTGAAAAAAATGATGTATGTGAAGCAATTGTGAACGTGATGAGTCATATGTTTCAAAAATTACATCCTTATATGCATGCTTTACCAGCCGTCTTTTAGACAGACAGATATTCTATGTAATTAGATTATAAAGAACAGAAAATTGCATAACCATAATAATTTCAGCTAATATTAAAATCCTTTGCGCCTATATACCATATATGTACACATACCATACATACTTTGAACTGCAGAGAATCACTACATTATAATTCTGATAACATCAATATTATGATAATACACTAATGCCCCGATTTGTGTTGATTCGAATTGCAAACAAAAAAAGATTTGGCTTCGATTTGCGTCTATAGTATTTCGATTTGCGTCGTTTTTTAATACATGCGTACAACGGGGATTTCCATTTTAATTGTTGTAGATCATATTTTTCAAAAGTGGGTTAACATATATTAAGTTTATAGTTAAAAGATGTTAGTTTACATTTGTGTGGTGAACTGGAATGTCAAATTTCTGCTGTATAAAGTATAAAAAGAAGTCAAAAGCGAAAACAAATTTCCTTGGAACGAAAGTTAGAAATTTTAAATCTTTCAAAATAGGAGAAAAACTTGTTGAATTTAGAATTCTGGGCTTAGCTCCAACTACTGTAGGATCAATTTGTAATCATGTTACTTGATGAAGGACTATGAAAAAATTGTTACACATTTGCAGGTCAAACAAGTTACAAAAAATAGAAGTCCATTAATTCTCTTCTATCCATTTGGAGAGAAAATCAGAATCAAAGAAAAATGCTATTGAGCCAAATGTTGATTCAGAATTAGGCTCTGTCGGTATTCAATGAGTTAAAAGGTTATTCTCCATTAACAAGTGGTCAAAAATCAGAATATTTTCGAAAATTAAATATGTGGATAAATGTGAGTCGATTTGCGGTGTTTAGATTTGCAAATCAATATTAGTGTAATATTATTATTATTATTGTGAATATATTGTAAAAATGGTTATAGTGTTTTTAATGTTTTATATATAAAACCAAATGGGGGTAGCCAGAAACTAATGGGACCGTGGCCCCTGTCAAATATCTGATCATTATTATATGTTTTTGTTTGAACAAATGTTAATATATTTGTGAATATGTAAATGTTTTATTCTTTTTTTCATTTTTGAAGTAGAGTTATTACAATCGCTAATATTATAAATAATTTTTTGGGATTTTTTAAATTTAATAAAACGGACATCAATCTTGGCATAATAATACATGAGCTGGAAGTAAAGGAAAATAGGGAAAAATAAAATGAAACAATTTGTTGTTTTTCATAGCATATATGAAAATAGTTTATAAGTTGCAAAGACGTTTTTCATAACGTCCTCATTAGTCCCACTCTTAGTAATGATCATGCTACCAAGGTAGTTGAAGGTGTTAACATATACGATGGTTAGTTGGTTTAAATTTAAATTCAAGCCCGGTGTAGGGTTGGTGCGTTAGACACCGAGCATGACTTTAGTTTTCTTTATGCTGATTTTTAGTCTCGCTTTTAAAGACTTGATGTAAATGCGTCGAACACTTTCCTGAATAAATCAGTGTTGACTTCTGTGGCCATCTTTTAAAGCCAGGTTTGGTATACCATCCACGCCGGGTGCTTTTTTTAATTTCAACCCTTTGTATACCGCTTCCAATTCTTGGTGACCTCATTTATTTTATTCTGTGGCCCACTATCTTGAACTGTATAGGCTATATCAGCACTCTGCGGAAAGAGGCCTTCAACTATTGCTTGCAGCTTAGCTGCGGCTGTTGTAACTGGTGGGCGGTAGTTATATAATTTTTTCATAACCACCTTGTAGCCTAGTCCCCAAGGATTATTCTCGACCTCATCACATATCACCTTGTAGCATCTTATCTTGCTATTCGCTACCGAATTTTTTATGTCAAATCTTGATGTTTTATAGGCTTTTTGGTGCACTCTGAAATTTTCATGACCACTTGCTCTTTGACATAGGCGTCGCGCATATTTGCATTTCTTTCTTAACTCAGAAATTTGGTCAGTCCACCAATACATATGCTGTCTACCATTCCGTCGGCCTCTCTTTGCCATAGATGCGTTATATGCATTTGTTATGCAGCGCATGAGATTTATTGCTTTATCATTCGCACTGCCGGTTAGGTGGATGTCGTCTATTGGGAGCTTAAAGACTTCTTTGTTCAAAGTTAACTCTTTCCGTAGTGGATTTGGGGTGGCTGCCACAGGAATGGCCTTTGCTGAGCGTTCATATATTTCGAAGATAATAGCTTGGTGCTCACTATGCGTGTAGATATCTGGCACTTGCCAATCCGTTGAGTTAGCTAGTGGATTCCTGATAAATATCAAGTCAATTTTAGAGCTCCTACCGTTACTTGAGAACGTGTTCTTTTGGCCGCAGTTCAGTAACACCATATCCAGTGTGGCCAATGCTCTCCCCTGGGGTTTGTCAATGTTGAGCCCCATTCAACGTCCCAGGCATTGAAGTCGCTGGCAATCACTGTCGGCTTTGTGTTTTTAGCGTCGTTAACAATATCGTCAAGTGGTTGCTTGTATTCTTCGATTGATAGCCTGGAGGGTAAATAACAGCTGAAAAACGTTATTCCGTTGATTGTAATTTTTACGTATGCTTCTCCTCTGTCGTAAACCTTCTCCAGTGGAAATTTACCACACGTCCATATCGATACCTTGTTGCACCTGCTGGTTGCCTACACTTGTAGCAGTGTTAGATCAATCTTTGAAATTTTGGCAGTTCCTTGCCACATGTCCAAAATCGAAGCATTTACATCTATTTGAGTACATCTATCGTTGGTTCTAACGTCTTTTGTTTGGCTTGATTTCTCTCTAGCAGCTTGTTGTACGCATAGCTTGTTGGATGGACCTTCTTCCCCCAGCCATCATTTCATTGAGTCCGGATATTTTATCTCCGAGTTTGTTAAATGTTTCCTTTTTCTCTTCTCTGTCACGATTAAGCTCCGGTGAAAATGAGCGGGATCTCTAGTTGCTTTGCATCTCATGTGATATCATAGGTAAGCGGGTCAGTCTTGGTGTCCTGATGAAGGGGTTTTACATAGGATTTACTATCAATAACTCCTTTACACTTTCGGTGCCGGCTGGAGTAGTAGTGTCAGTGTGTGCGGGTGTGAGTGTTTTCTTTGTCATTTTCTTTGCAATTGGGTCCCAACTTAAAGCCGTTATCTTAGTTCCGTTGTGTAGTTACACTTATTGTGGTTCTATGATTATCTTTGCAATGCAGGGAGGTCATGCGAGGGTTGACACATAGCCTTATGATCGCATGTGTTTAGAACCGAACCGGGAGCTAAGCAGAAGATATCCTTAACTGCCCATACACCCTAACTTTACAGGACGAATCCAAGATTGTTCTTTAAGGTTTGCCAGGTTTTAACGATACGGAGACAGATGACGCATTAGCCTGAAAGCTGTCTAGACCAGATTTCACTCTAGGCCATATTGGTAGCAGAATACTTCATCCACCAGCCCATGTCATTAATCGTTTGCTGTTGTCCAGCATGCCATAATCAGAATCTAACTGGTGTCGATCCTGATGCCTTTTCTTATAGGCTTCCTCCGTTATCATCTTCTGTGTGTGGTTTGTGTTGGAACAGCCGCCCCTAACGTGGGATACAGACGCTGAACATTTTCTTCTTCCTACTGAAATTTGGGGTTGTCGCTTTATACAATTTGTTATGAATAATAACATTCCTGTTTTTTAGTAATATTTGTAAAATAAGAAGTCATTAGTGAATAATTTTATTTATTTTATTAATTAAATTTAATTAATTAGAATTTAGTCGTTAAGATTTAACGAATAATTTCTCCACACTCTTTTGGTATTATCTTTATTTACATCAAAATGCCCATTGAGTTAAGTTAATTTTTATCGCTCAAATCAAAACAGCTGACTAAAGGCTGAGTTAAGTCTCAGTTAGACGATAGTTAACGTAAGAAATTAATTCTGCGTATTTGATAGAAACGAAATAAACAAAACCGGTGTACTTTGTTTATTTCGTTCCTATCAAACACACAAGTTTGGTTGGTTGTGCATTTCGTTTTGAATTAGTTTTTTACGTTACCCACCGTCTAATTGAGCCTTAACTCAGCTTTTAGTCAGCTGTTTTGATTTGAGCGATAATAATTTAAGCAAGGCACTTACGAAATTTGCTAATTGAAATTAAAACAAGTTTGAATTGCCTATATTTAAAAGGTTTCATAAATAATATTATTATGAAGTTTGGGCAAATCAAAATACAATATACATACACTAAATTTTCAATGGCGAAATACGTTCACATTTCATTTTGCACTAAGGGAATAAGCGTTTTTACTTAAGTGAAATGAAATGAAAATGAAGAACTTGGCACATATGTATGTATGTATCAAACTGCTGATAAGCAATTGTTGTTAGTTGATTTGATAAGTGATGTTTTGTAGTTTTTTAAATATATTTGAACCTGTCATTGCAAAATTAAATTTAAACTTAATTAGTTTCTCTATTTCAACATTCGCGCAGAAAATAATTTAAGTTTTTATACGATTATTATTTTCATTAACAAAAATTAAAGGAGACGTGTTACAAAACTAATTTATGTGTGTACTTTATAAGTTCATAAAATAATTAAATATAATTAAAAATTAGATAATAGGTTCATAATATATTATCGTAATAAGTATATGTAAACAATTACGTATAAATATATAAAAGAAACACGCTCAGCAAGTAGCAAAATTTCATCAAATAAGAACTAATCATTAATTGTAATTACGTACATATATTTATGTAAATATATATATTTTTGCAGTTTTGCAGTATTCTTGGAGTTCTCAATATGGCAAATGTACATTCTGATTACATTGAAAATGTTTTGTTGCCGGAGATTGTAAATAATTTAAACGAAAAATACATATCGAGTAAAATTGAACACTCCAGTGGGCTGGATGGGTTCATGTCCGCCTTATATAGTGTAAATTTACAAACAAAGTCAGATAACGGGTAAATGAAAATAAGTATTACAACCATATGTTCTAATTTTTAATTAAAAAAATTTAGTTTAAGAGATCGTCAACTAATGGTAAAGGTTATGAAAGGAGACACAGATTTTCGAGAATCAAGTAAATCTTACATACAATTCGCAAATGAGATTTATATTTACGCTAAAGTTCTACCCGAATTCAACAAAATTTTAAAAAGTGTTGATATTAATATATCTGTAGAAGATTGGGTTGCTCATGCTTATGCTGCAAAATTTGGTTTTATTGAAGGTGAAATAAAGTCAATAGATTGAATAATTTTTTATATAAACTGAAACTTTTCCATTTACATAGGTCTCAGTAGTAATACTTCAGCAAATGAATCTGTTTTAGTTCTAGAGAATCTGAAGCCTGAAGGATATGTGTTAGGACCTCGGGTTTATCTCAGCCGAAATCAGTTAATAAGTATGGCTCGGCCCTTAGGCCAGTATCATGCAATAAGCTATGCTATGAAACTAACCGAAAATGCGTTATGGAAAAAATTGGTAAACGGCATTGTTCCATTACCTTTTATAAATAAATCTGATCCGAATGATGCTAAAACTAATTTGTACCGCCCCTTGTACCGTGTTGCATTTGATAGATTTTATGAGTTTTATGACAGAAAATATAATGAATTATTTGTTCAAGACAGTAAAAGCAATGAAAAACTTTCTAAAGATTTAGAAAATTTGCGCGAAAAGTATTTTACCGAACCCACACTTCTATTAGAACGATTACGCACTCTAGCAGTTGAACGACCTGAAGATGAAATATTTGCCGCTATATTACATGGAGACTTCAATCGCAATAATGTACTTTTTCAATACGGTCATAGTGATAACGCAGATGCGCAAGATCACGCAAAACCTGTTCAAAATGTTAAATTAATAGATTTCCAGGTGAGAAATGCAATATGTTCATAAAAATTATTTTGATGAATTTTCAAATTATGGTGCAGGAGTTGCGGTATTCAACACCAGTTATCGATTTGAGTTTTTTCATGTTTATAAATACTTTAGAAGATATACGGTATGAGGTGTGGTTTGATATTCTGATTGAGTATCATACTCACATGTTGAAGACATTATCAAGAGTTTTAAAGACCAATTTGGCAGGTAAAATGTCTCCCGAAAATATTGATAAAGAACTGGAAAAATATAGGTAAATTATTTATTTGTACTCCTTATTTTGATTCTTTCATAAAACATTATTTTTAAAGCTTCCAAAATTTTTATACGCATTTTCGTCGCTATGCTATATATGGAGCACTGATTTGTATGCATTTCCTGCCGTGGCTTCTTTGCAGTGAGAAAGAATGTGCTCTTTTATCCAATTTATTCGAAACTGATATGCATAGCAGCGAATTCCATAAAATTTCCTTAGAAGCTGGTGGAGATGAAGTGAATATGCGAATTTTTGAAATTTTAAAACTTGCCAGCAAGTTTGGTTATTTAAATTATTTATAATTAATTACATATAATCAATTATAATCAAAGGCAATATTTAAACTGTTTGATAATTGCAATGATTAAAAAATGATGCTACGGATAAATAAAATAATTTCATATGTTTACACTTCAGCTTATCTTACATGATACAGCAATTTTTATGTAAGATGTGTTTACATTTTGATTTCAAAATTAAACGAGCAATGATAAAAAAAATGATTTGTTAAATTTAAAATTTTCTTTTGAATATAGTTCACCGTCATATGTTTTCTTTGTTAAGAGTTAAAATTTTTTAGTGTAAATAATAGAAAAAATTTTGTTTGAATTTAGATTAGCGAATATAACTGAATTCTACATTCTTATCGAGATTAATCTGAACATGAGTTAAGTAAAATAGTCTAAACATACTAAATAATTAATATAATATATTTTTGTAATAATTTTACAATTTTATGCTTTTATTAAAGTATAATTAAATATAAATACATTAAATATAAAAAACATTTTCAACGAATTGTACATTTTTAAATTTATATATTGTGATATGTACAGGAGATAATTATTAATTATTAAAGATAACAATTTACGAATAAACTCACAATTGACATCACCGAAAGTATTGATGTAGTATTATTATTCTTGAAGCTATATACACAAGTTTATTTACTTTATTAATAGTTATAATTTTCAATTAAAAATATGTCTCTTATTTATAAAACGATATTTATATATACATATACCAAAATTTTAAAAAAAATTTATCGATTTCGTTTTTAATTTTTATTTGGATTTTTGAATTCACATTACAGGTCGTGTGTTTTATTTATATATTTTTTTCTATGCCTTGTTCAATACCAATACCAGCCACCGTTGTATATGTAATTATCTCCATGTTACCTCTAAATAGGAAAGCATCAAATTTTGTATTTGTACATCTTATGTTTGTATTAGGTGTGTTAACTAATGGCGTTTTCGATTCGTAAATCTGGATTCAATCTAGATTTACTCCAGATCTGTCAAATTGTGTTGCCCAACCAAACATTTTTACAGTAGTCTAAAATTTTAGAATTGTGTTAGTAGATATTTATGTTTTTCATAAATACATAAATCGAATCAAATCACAATTTCTTTGTCATCATATAAAACAGCTGTTCATTTTAGAGTAATCTGGCAAAATATTTGGTGTTATAATTTAATCTCCAGTACTATATAGATTTATCAATCGAAAATGTAAGTTGCAGTAAAAGTGAATAAATCTCGATTAAAAAAGTTACCATAGATTTACCAATCGAAAACGCCACAAAATTAATTAAATTTACAATACATGTGAACTATTCTGTTTACGAGATAAAGATTAATGAAACAATAAATAATAAATTCAAATGATGAAAGATTTAGTTAGAATCATTACTTTAATGCCAACATAAACCATAGCATTGAATTATATAAAAATGTATATAAAAAAATATGTTTTCATTGCAGCAATTAATTTTTTCGTTTTAAGTTTTTTTAATTATATCAAAAAAATGTGGAACATAATTTTTTGTTTTAGATGCATTAAAGCGCATGTAATAGTATGAGTAAATATTTAATAAATATTTCAGTTATTTTCTTTTGAATAAGACGTATGTGTTACTACAATAATGATACTTCCATCTGCTACTAAAAGATGTTTCTAATTTCATAGCATTATAAAGTTTTATAGAAAAATATATAAACAAATTTTCCTGCTGGGCGCTGTTTCAATTCTATTGTGGTCTTGATAAATCTGTCTAGGGATGTTCAATAAAAATTTATACAAATAAGTAATCGTTAATTTCGGTTCGATACCGGGTACTCTTCTACAACTTTTTCGATATATAGTTATACATATTCCATAAATACATTTAATATTGATTTTGTTGTTGATAATTCAATACTTATTCTGTACCTAGACTTTGGTAAGATTTTTACAAATAGTTTTACTTTTCATTACTACATACAAACTTTACAATACAAATATAAAATTATAGCCAGTCAAGTTACATATTTATAGTTGGCCTTTATTTTACGGTTTAGTTGGCATTTTGTAATTCCATAGTACTAACTTTCAGGCTATCTTCATATCTCTCAAAATTGGTATGTAAAAATTGTTAAATAATATATATTTAAAAACAAATAAAATATATTAAAAAATTTACTATTAAAAATTACTATTGTTTTATTTTATATATAATAACAAATTTATATTGTAAGCAATATAATTATTCTGTTTTTTTTTATATGTGAACTATAAATATCCATCGTTTATATATGATTATATATTTTATACCTGTTTTAAATTAACCTTACGTTTACACTGGCTTGATTTTGTCAAGAATTTTACATACACGTTCATTTTCTTATTAAAACACAAATTTTTTTGGAGCAAAAAGATCTTACTAATGTATAGCCCGTGTAGATGCTCAGCAAATGTTCAATTTCCAAGCGCTTATGTTGAAGTAAATGTTCTATTTTCAAATCATTCATTTAAGCCTGGTTAACGATTTACTGCTTCTATTTGCCTTAGTTAATTTGTATGCTTTGTTTTTGTAGGTTGTGTTCCTGGGTGTGGCAAAGCAATATTATATTTTTGAATATTATATTTTTAAAAACAAATAATTTGAATTTTTTAAATATATACCAATGTATAGAACATTCGTCTTCACCGCTGTATTTAATATCGTGTTAGTGGTAATACAAGGTAAATGTGGTTATTATGTGTTAATATCCGATGACTTAAGGTGTTGGTTTTAGTTGTGGATCAGAAAACACTTTGAAACAGGTGTAAAATAAATAAAAGTGTTACGAATTGAGGGCTGTATTTTAAATCCACTATTCGATGATAATAATATACATATCATAAAGTAATTGTTTACGTTCCAAGCATTTACGCTGAATTAAGTGCTCCGTTTTCAAATCATTCATTTAAGCCTGGTTGGCGTTTAACTGCTTCTAAGTGCCTTAGTTAATTTATATGGTTTGTTTTTGTAGGTTGTGTTCCTGGGTGTGGCAAAGCAATATTATATTTTTGAATATTATATTTTTAAAAATAAATAATTTGTATTTTATAAATATATGCCAATGTGTAGAAAATTCGTCTTCACCGCTGTATTTAATATCGTGTTAGTGGTAATACAAGGTAAATGTGGTTATTATGTCTTAATATACGATGATTCAAGGTCTTGGTTTTAGTTGTGTATCAAAAAAACACTTTGAAACAAGTGCAAAATAAATAATATTGTTACCTGTTAAGGATTGTAGTGTCACCAGTTAGGGATTGCATTTTATTTCACTATTCGATAGAAGTAATATATGTATGTACGTATCATGAAGTAATTGTTTATGTTCCAAGCATTTACACCGAATTAAGTGTTCCGTTTTCAAATTGTTCATTTAAGCCTGGTTGGTGATGCATTGCTGTTAGTTTCCTTAGTTAATTTCTATGGTTTGTTTTCGTAGGTTGGCTTTTTGGGTGTGGCGAAGTTATTTCTTAAACTTTAAAAAATAATTGACTTGAATTTTGTAAACATTTACCAATGTGTAAAATATTCGTCTTAACTACTATATTTCATATAGTGACAGTGCTAGTGCTAGGTAAATATTTATATTCTTTAATATCCAACAGCTTTGGGTGTTGGTTTAAGTTGTGAGTCAAAAGTATATTCTACATAATTTGAAACATTGTGGAATTATTAGGTCATTAATAAATAATAATAACTAGTAACAAACATTTAAAGTACATAATGTAATAAATCACATTTGTTACATTTTAATTTAACTGTTTAAATATATTTTAATAGTAGCTTGTTTTTGTGATCAACAGGTGGAAAAGTGACGAAAGCCACAGGATTGAATGTAAACATATTAATTTATTGTTATAAATATAATTGTAAACTTTTAAAAATAGCACAGTTTAAAATTAGTAGTAGTTTTATGGTTTCAATTAGATAAGTAATTAATCTATTTAAATTTTTATCCTTTTAGCACAATATGACTTCAGTGAGCACAAAGTCAGTGATATGATATGGTGTACAAAAAGCCAAGAAGAGCAATATAAATGTCAAAATTTAACAGTTGCCATTGAGCGAGATCGTGCTCTTTTTGACGACTCATTATTAAAACTGACATGTTTTATGGCTTACAGTGCGGATGAATGTATACATCATATTGATCGAGAAAAGGCCCATATTACTACATTGGATGCAGGTGATGTGTTTACCGCAGGCCGATTCAATTCGCTTATACCAATTATGCAGGAAAAATTTGAAGGTGGATTCACAAAATATCATGCTGTGGCTGTTATAAATAAAGGGACACTTACCGATTTAACAAGTTTAAGAGACTTAAGGAACAAACGAGCTTGTTTTCCTTGGGTTGGGAGTTTAGCAGGATGGATTTTACCAATTTATACGGTTTGATATACTCAATTGCTTTTTTTGATATATAAAAAAAATCATGTATTTCTCTTCATTTACAGTTGCAACGAGAAGGTGGGATGGAAGTTGTAGATTGTAATAATCAAGTTAAAACTGCAGCAAATTATTTCAACAATTCTTGTGCAGTATACTCATTGATTGATAAATACAATCCAATCGGAGACAATTCGGACAAGTAAGTTCTATATAAATAAATATTAAATAATTATATCTTGTAATCCTTCACATTATTGTAAAAAAATAATATTCAACGCTTTTGCCATTAAAGTAACTTTTAATCCACTGAACAATAAAATAATTTACAGAAATATTTTTGAAAATTTAAATGGTAAATGTTAATAACTTACCGAACTAGAATCCAAAACTTATTGAAGAACAAAAACGGTACTATTGAAAGTATTAAAAAATAAAGTATAAAATACATTTTGCTTAATTTAAGCCTATTTAAATTCCGTTAAAGTGCATTGAATTAGTCACGGCATTTGACATTGGAGACTATTAAAATTATATACAAACATATATATTAGAGCTGTCCAGAGCATATAAGATCGCGGGCCAATTCAAATCACTGAATAGGTTGGAGGGCGATAATATTAAATTTAGTTTTATTAATTCATTAATTTATTTTTTACAATTCTATCAATATCAATATTATTAATATTATTTTTGTCATACGAAAAATATATTATTTTTAACGTAATGACTTACGGCATTGGATACGAGTTTTTTGAACCAGTTCTACAAAGAAATATATACTAAAGTTTTTGTCAATTAAGTAAATTAACGTGAAGTGTAATAAATTATTTAAATAATTTTAATTCATTTATGTCGGATACCATAAAAATGAAATAGAATAGTTACCAATATATAGAATCGTTACCAATATATATCAAATAAAAATTAGCCTAATTGTGATAGATTAGAACATGTCGCGGGCTGCGCAAGAATTAGTTGCGGGTAGCATGTGGCCCGTGCTTTGAACAGCCTTGATATATATGATCAGTATGATAAGCAGCATTTGTTTGATCATACCAGTCAGTACGTCAGACATTCTGTCTGTCCGTCCGCCTCAGTATCTGTTCAATAGCTTGTTTGATTTAAAGGCTCAATTAGTTGGTACGTACCTTAAAAACTATGTATACCTGTGTATATGATAGGAACGAAATAGACAAAGTTCACCGCTTTTATTTTCTTTCTTTCTATCAAATACACAGGTTCGGTTGGTTGTGCACGTATTAACTAACCGACTAACGGTTGGTTGTGCACTTACGGTATGTACCGACTAACTGAGCCTTAAGGCAGTTCATGTCGAAAATTAACCAAATTGATTGTCTTAATTATATAGTAGTCCCCATTCAAATTAACTACAAAAATGATATATATGTTTTTATTACATGAAAATAAATATTATTTGTAAATAATTAAAATGCAAAATTATCCTTTTGGTTCTATTAAGGTTTTATTGTTTTTTTTTAGATTATGTACTCTTTGTACGGGTAAAGTTCCAGCTGGACGCTGCTCAGCCAATGATCCTTACTATGGTTATGATGGTGCATTTCGTTGTCTACTGGAAGCTGGTGAAGTTGCTTTTTTAAGAGATTCTACCATCAATGAAATGTTGCAATATGATGAATTTAGTAAGCAATTTTTATTTATAACTAGTTTTATTATTCGAGACAAAAGTAACACTAATTTCATGTAGAGAGTTTATCAAGTGATCGCTTTGAACTTTTATGCCGTGATGGACGACGGGTGCCTATAAGTGAATATCGTCAGTGTTATTGGGGACTCATACCATCAGATGCCATTGTTACATCATCCGCGCGAACATTAACCGAACGTAAAAAATACCAAGCATTTCTTAAGCGCATGGTTGAACTTTACTCGGACGCAATTAGGGAAGATCCCAATAAACAATATAGCAGCAACGTTAACAATAATGGTTTTAATAGGAATTACAACGATGAAAGAAATGATCGTTTTGATGTATATAATAATAATAATAATAATAATAACAGTCCTTTTAACAACTTTGGGCGCAATCAAGATTCATATAATCGATTTGATAATACAGGTTTCCGTAATGAACGCCTAGATAGTAGCTTCAATACAGATTACAATTTCCAAAATGGTACAAACAATACTGTATCTTACGAAAAATTCAACTTATTTGAATCGAAACGTTATGGTAGAGTAAATTTATTATTTCAAGTAAGAATCAACTGAACATAATGTACATTTCAAATTTACTATTTTGTGTCTATTTTCTTCCAAAGGACGCAGCCCGTTCATTGACTGCTATACATGAAGACGACCAGTCCTTTAAAAAATATTTGCAGGATGCAATTGATTATATATATGGACTGAGAGAATGTCCGATTCCTAGCATGACATTGTGTGTGACATCCGAGCCAGAATTAGAGAAATGTGTTAAAATGAAAGTAAGTCAATAATATTTAGTAATTAATATATTGCAAATGAATATTTTTTTAAAATTAGCTTATGTTTTTCACATTGATAAAACTTCTTATTAATAATTTTAGATTGCTCTTAAAGCTCATTTATTGAAACCAGAACTAATATGTAAAAAAATGCATTCACATATGGATTGCATGCGCGGAATACAATCCGGTGATGCTGATATTGCAGTTTTTGACGCTGGTGACGTGTATACTGGTGGTTTAAACAATAATTTAATACCGTTTATGTCTGAGGTTTACAATTTGGGTGAACCGGAGTATTACGTTGTAGCTGTAGCAAAAGAGGAAGATCCAGATACAGAGTTAACATACCTTAAGGGTAAATACACTTGTCATACAGGCATTAATACAGCTGCTGGTTGGACTTATCCAATGGCATACTTGATATCTAATGGTTGGATAAGACCTTACGGATGTGATTCTATTCGAGCAGCTGCTGAGTATTTTACCAAGTCTTGTGTACCCGGAGCTATAAGTAATGAATATAATACTGGTGTTCCTTATGACAGCATGTGTGATCTTTGTCATGGCACTAGCTATCGCTATTGTCGTCGTGACGCTTCTGAAGACTACTATGGGCATACAGGATCATTTCGTTGCCTCGTTGAAGGTGGTGGGCATGTTGCTTTTATGAAACACACAACAGTTATGGAAAGTACTGGCGGAAAACGAAAAGAGTGGTGGGCTAGGAACGCTCTTAACGATGATTTCGAATTATTATGCACAGATGGTAATTATAGATAAAAATTAATTAAAGTGTCAAAGAAAATTTAATAATTTTAATAACATATTAGGTACACGTGCGGAATTACATGAGTATAAAAAATGCAATTTAGGAATAGTTAAGGCCAATGCCATTGTAACTCGCGGTGGTGATGGTTATAATGAAACACAACTGAATGCTTACATCAATTTGCTTACATATGCACAGCAACTTTACGGTCGAAAAGATGTTGACACTTTTAGTTTTAGCATGTTTGAATCGCCGATTAATTTTTACGATTTAATTTTCCAAGATGCCACACGTCAGCTACAAGTTATACCTCCAAACAAGCGACGTTACGATCTCTATTTAGGAAGTAATTTTATGCGTGCACGACGTATAACTGATTGCTATGCTGGTGCTAGTCAAGTTCAAATATCTATATCACTACTCTTTACATTGTGTTTTATAGTATACAAAGTAATCGTGTGATATATAAATGAAAACCATATCATAAGCTAAAGTATATATTAATGCTTTAAATTTTAAAAATGAGCCTAAAATTCTTTATATCACATATCTGCACAAATATTAATACTATTAGTTAACGTACAAATATTGTAGACATTAGAAATAAAAAATTGTAATAACATTTGACTGTATCAGTTAAGAAAAATGTAAGCACAATTATAGTTATGGTATTTATTTTTATACTAGTTTAAGATGTATTATTATAATGTTTAGAACTGAACGTACACACTCCGTCCAAGTAGTATATAATTTTTTATTAAATATGTATTTGATATATGTTTATATGTAATGTATATATTTGTACACATTTACAATATTTTTATATAAGTACACATAGATAAGTGCAATATATAAACATATATATAAATATTTATATATAATTATATGTATAAATACAAAATTATTTACGTATCTCTTTGTTTAATTTTATTAAAATATGTTTAATATTTTATTTTAAAATAAAATTTTGATTAAATATGCACTTTATGTAAAATAAATATATAGAATATGCTGCACTATGACACTGGTGCATATTATTTTTTCCTCTCTATGCGCAGTGACAGTCAGTTAATTTGATTTTTAATTGTATTGTTAACCGAACATACTATATAAAACTAGTTTTCAGTTAATAGTATAATTACACTAATACCATGTAATATAAAGTAGTATTCAAAAGATCATTACTGTTTTCATTCGAATTTTAAAATCTGTTTACTCTGGTAACTGAACTTCCTTCATATGTAATTGACACTCCGTCTGTTGTATCTTTTTCGCTATTTATCATAAGTAAAATAAATGCATAATTTAGCTAAAGACTTGCACACGATCAGTAAAGTAGAAACAGTTCTTGAAAATGATTTAATAACATAAAGCTAAGGACATACAAAAATTATACTTTTTGTACTGGTTTTTTTTCTTACATACTTATTATCCATTATTCATTCTGGTTTTTTTTATTTGTACATAGTTATGATCTATTCAGACCAATGCTTTTCGACCTTTTTTGTACTATTTACCTACTTGATGATTTAAAATATTCTAATGCCCCTCTACGTAACACACACAAGGAGCTTTCGTAAACATTAGCAGATTTGTTAAATATTATTCACTTCTGAATGAAGAATTGCATCCCTCACTCTTTCTATCAACAATATGTTTCTTATGATCGTGCACTAATTTCTTAGTTCGTAAATGGCGAGGCTTCCTGGTCACCATTATTCCAGAATTAACAAGTATCAAAGGAACGACATTCATCCAACATCACACAACGCACTAAGATACACCTGTACAATACAAATGTAAAATCAACTTTACTATATGGTAGTGAGAGTTGGAACCTAACGGCAAGAGACGCACAACAGCTACAAGCCTTTGTCAATCGCTGTCTACGACGCATCCTTCATGTATTCTGGCCAGCAACCATAACCAATAATGAGCTCTGGTTTAGAACAAATCAGCCTCTTATAACTGATGAAATAATGATGCGCAAATACAAATGGCTTGGCCATACGTTAAGAAAACCCGCTGATGATATCGCAAGAAATGTCTTAGATTTCAACCCTCAAGGCAGTAGAAGACCAGGGCGTCCGCGCAACACTTGGAAACGACAAACTGAAGCTGAATTAAGAAATGCTGGAAAGAGCTGGAGTGAAACAAAACGTCTTGCATTAGATAGAGTTCAATGGAAACTATTTGTTACGGCCCTCTGTCCCACCTAGGAATAAAAGGATTAAATAAAGGAACGACATTTACATTATTTTACAGATTGATTGTTAAATCATAATTTAGTGAAAAAATTGAACTTTCACCCAATGTGTGTGTGTGTGTGTGTGTGTGTGTGTGTGTGTGTGTGTGTGTATTGTTTACAGATAAATAAGCGTATCCAGTGGGATATATGAAGAAATCGTCTGTAGCAATTGAAACCAGAATCTCAATTCGATGATCTATTTTTTTGTTTGGGAAATGATATAATTATATTAAATAAGGTTATCGTGCCAATTTTTTCGTTAGTCACCCAGGTTAGGTTTCCTAGCAACCCATAAAATTGGTACCGATACATTCACAAAAAAAAGAAGCTCTAGATTTTGTTGATAAGGCGGCTACGCCGAGAAAAATTTTTTATATTTAAATCAAAAACAATATTTAAAAATCGCTTATATAGTATGTACTTGTGTTGCATATCTAAGAGTCAGTAATAGAAGTTATATCCATTTGTCGATTTGAAGGTGCTATGGTAAATGTCATATGTAAGACACACATGTTCCAATGTTATCCAAAAACGAAATGATCTAAATTGGACATATAAAATTAAATAAAAACGAACGTTGCAATATAGAAAAAAATATTTTATTAAATTTGTGTATATTAGTATAATATAAAGTGTGATTCATTTTATATCGCTAAAAATATTTCTGTCTTCTAAAAATAAAGAAACAAACAATGTTAAAAAAAAGTATAATGATCGGTGTAAATAACTGGTATAAGTCGTGGTGCTTAATATTTCTCATTTAATTAATAATAATAATTATTTATAGAAATTATTTTATTATTATTTACAAAAATTTCAGAAAATAATTAAAATCAATATATACATATTTGGATTTATCTTAAAAAATGCAGGAAACCTGGCACCATTATCAGTCAAATTGACCTAGTTATAAAGATTTGATATGTCAAGATAACGAACACCTCAGTAATAATGATCGATTCCAATAAATGACAATTAATGGTTTAGCTTCAAGTGTTAATAAACCACCACATTTACCAACAACAAATTTTATAGACGTGATTATATATTTTTGTCCATTTGGGTTTTTCAAATTTATTTTCGGCCAAATGTTATTTGAAAACAAACTTGCACTAAAACTATTTTCTTTAGTTTCAAATATATTATTAATATTATCTTATAGCATAATTAAAATCTAGAGAATATTGAACAAATATTTATATAGTCGGAATATTCGTTTATATTAAAATATTTAATTGACACAGTAACTCATTCTCTTCTTACACAAGAATTTGTTTTAACCAAATGAGAATTATAACTAAACAAAAATTTTAATTGCATAAAAATTAGAATATAGTCAGTAAAAGTAAATGAAATATTATTACGGTATTTCTAATAACTTTTTAGCTTCTTTTAAATGTTTCTATTTCACATATTAAATTTTTTTTACTGATAAGTTATTAAAGTTAACTTATCGGCGGAGGGCACGCCGTAAGAAATTATAAGGATCAAAAATGTCTTATAAAACCATCAAAAGTTATTAATAACTTTAATATTAAGTTATTAAATCTTAAAATTATTTACACATTCAAATTATATATCTTGTAAGTAATTATAACTGATAAAGAAGTAATTCTTATACTATGGATCTTACTGAATAGATCAGAGCCATTTGAGAATTCAGGAAGATTAGATAAACTGTTTTTAAAATTGAGTTCGAATAGCTAATAACTTACGGCTGGTAGGTTCGATTTATTCAGACAACAGTGTCTCGTCGTAATGGTAATGGTTTCTGGTTTATGAGTTTAAGTATGAATATTTTTATTTATGTGATATATCAAGATGCTCCTGTGATTATTAGATAATTAATTGAGTAGTGTTTGTTATTTGCTTGAATTTTTATTTTATATTTTTTCTGTCTAACTGCTTATGAGGTTAGTTTTCTACACAAATCAATGTTCAGTTAAGTAACATTATCTGCTTGAGTCATCGTTGTGCTATTTAGAGTGATTACCAGGTAAGTGCCTCTTTTAAGGAAGAAAGTGACATGGCAACATTGTCGTTCTTTAATTTTAATGCGTCATCAGGGTTGGTACTTCTCTAATTAAAGTAAGTGAGCTTTAAATTGTCGTTATTTTTATTGTATATTTCAATATAATTTATTGACATCATTAATAATTATTTTATTATAGCTACTATAGCTATATCAACAAACGTAAAAAATTATTCAATCTTCTTTTTGTTTTTTGTTTCCGTAAAATGTATTTATACGTAATGTTCCACAATATTGCGCCATGTACGTGTCCTTGTGATATGCCCCCGTTATTACATACGCTTGAGGCCGTTCTCTGTGTCATGTATAAATATTCTTTTTGACAATTTACTTCTATTAATTTTTAGTAAATTTTTAGAGCGTTCCACTAGCTTGTCAGGTTTTAATAGATTTGCCTGCATATGTGTAGATTCACAATTTGGGTACATGGTTTCGTATGTGACGCTTCTGACCTTATATCTCGAGAACATTTTTTAAATTACTTTTTTAGGGGATACAGATCTTTGAGAAGTTATCATATCTCAGTCTCCTTAAATGATAGAATTTCAAATTAATTGCTTTTAAACAAATAAAATTGTTCATATTAAAGTATTAATCTTGACCGTTTTTATTATTATTGATATGGGATATGGCACTGCGACCATCGGGTCTATTGTGTCGCTTTCTGGGCTTAGAGTATGTCACCTGTTGCTAAGATACAAAGTAGTATAGAACCACTTTACAGAGTTTAGTTGTCTTTTCCGTTAGGGTATACATTCCCAATTATTTCAAATTGTGTATAGAAAATTTAATTTGTTCTTGTTGATTTGGTTTTAAAATTAATGATGAAATCAAATTTCATAAAATTTTTTTTTCAATTCTAGTCTCGATTATTTACTAATGTTATGATGTTATTATTCAGAAATACCAATTAAGATTTGATATTTTATTTTAATAAAACGCTCAATCAATTATTTTTTATATGTAAAAAATCTTAAATCTCTATCTTGAGAAGTTTCTGAGATATGACCATTTAAGAATTAGTTTAAAATTAAAATTCTCAGAACTCCGATGGGTCCGTATTTTTAGTTTTTTTCCTGAGATTTGAATCTTTTTGTTGTATTAGAGAAACACATAAAAATATTTAGCTAACTTGGAGGTGATTTTGTCAAAATATTTTGTATGATTAAAAATTCATGGGTGAATTTTTCAAGTCGGGATATAGGATTAAGCCAACTCGCAAATGTGGTAAAAATTTGTTCAACTTCCCGAGATTCCTGAGATTTGGCTTTTTTTGTTGTATTAGAGGAACACATAAAAAAATTTAGCTAAACTGGAGGTGATTTTGTCAAAATATTTTGTGTGATTATAAACTCGTGGGTGAATTTTTCAAGTCGGGATATAGGATTAAGCCAATTCCTTAATGTAGTAAAAATTTTGTTCAACTTAGTGCCAAATTTATATTATGAAC